GACAGGACTAGCATGTCACGAGAAACCATCAGTAAAGCATGCCAGGGGTTTTTTCCTTCCTTATTAACTGACCACAGGGGACTCCTCATGAGGCCATAGGTGGAGGCTGTGAAAAAGGGGGCAATGTGGTAGGAAGGTGGGCCATGGGCATCTGTGACACTTGCTCATGAAATTTCCTTGTGCCCTCAATACATGCTTGGGCCAGATTTTGTCTACACCACTTCTGTTCTATACGGTGCAGGCCAACTTGATTGATTTTAGCGGGTCAGACAATACGTAGTCCATAAGAGATTTTTCAGATCACACGGTCACTTGGTCATCTGTGGTCAAGTTTTCAGAGTCTGCTAATGCTGAGGAGCAAGCCAATGACTGTTTCTCTAAAGGGGAATTCTAGTCTGCAAAGGAAGGCATAGATTTGTCACAAAATGCTGAGTTTATGGTTATAAGTCACTCTATGTGCCTGGTAAGGGAGCCTTACATCTCCAGATCTACTACAAACAATTCAAACACCATTGGATCATATGAGTCCAATGGTAGAATAGCTTTCAGAGACTTTTCTTATTCTCAGCTCTACTCGAAACTGCCTGCTTTTTGGGTTACTCAGTAAATGGATTGGTGTAGCATGTCAAAATTAGGGGTCTGTGTGTGTGTGTGTGTGTGTGTGTGTGTGTGTGTGTGTGTGTATTTAGTGGTAGGAGGGTGATGCACCAACTCGTTTTTCACCTTGGAGATGAACACAGGTGATATTTTAAATAACTCTTTTGCCACTGTATACCATGAACTACCAGGGTCCCTCTTGCTCCCGGAAACAAGGTTTTTAATGCCTTTAAATCTAATGCCATTAGAGAATTAAATCCAGGCCACTAAGAACCAACACAGAGAAACCCTCCTTAAAGTTTCTCGGTCTACTTCTAGTACCAAATTTTATATCAGTCAGGGTTCAATCAATTTGAGAAACAAAATGAGTAGAGCAATTATGGGAGCTGATTAAACAATTCAGTTGAAGCTGTTGCTTCTATGTCTGGTGCCGGGGCCTTGTATTAGCCAGGGTTCGTCAGAGAAACGGAGCCAACAGAATATATATATTCTAGTAGTATATTCAATGTATTCTATTCAGAGAATAATACGTTCTCTAAATAGCAGTAGGACATAGGATATATACAATAAATAACAGAATAGTCTATTAGTATGCTAGTATATATTCTATTTAGAATAGTATATTCTATTAGTTTATTAGTATATCTATTTTATTAATATATTATATATCCTATAACTTATATTGGCTTACTGTATTTATTACCAAGAACTGACTCGCTTGACTGTGGAGGCTGAGAGGTTCCTCAGTCTACCATCTATAAGCTGGAGACCCAGGAGAGCTGGTGTGGTTCTGGTCTGAATCCCAAGACCCGAGAGCACCTGTACTGTCATCCCATTCTACAGACTGAGAAGACTGACGTTCCAGCCTAAGGAGGCAGGCAGAGAGACTGAGTTTCCCTTTCCTTCAACTTTTCTGTGTTAGTCAGGCCCTTACTGGATTGGCTGACACCGGAGGACCTCTGCTTTACCCGGTCTGTTCATTCAAATGCTAATTTCCTCTGGAACCACCCTTCCAGACACACCCACAAGCGATGTTTAACCGGCTCCCTGAGCATCCCATGAGCCTGGTCGTGCTGACACATCAAATTAACCATCACGAGCCTAGAGTCTATAGATAAGGCACCTGAGAAGAAGAGATGGATGTTAAGAGGGAAAGCAAGGGCAAATGAGATCGTTGGAGGAAGGGCTGGAACCCAGGAGGACAGACTGAACTCTTGTCAGTCTCCCTTTCTCCAAGCCAGGCTGGAGCTCCGAGAAGGAGCAGGAGACGCTGTGGGCCCCCTGCATCGGCGACCCTCACTGCAGGCCGGGGACAGGAGTGAGAGGGCCAGAGCCCCCACAGTGCCTGGGGCCGTGTGCCCGCCTGGAAGCGCACAGAGGACTCGACTGCTGCTTCGCTTCCACCTTTTACCCCTCGTGCGATGGTCTCTGCCGGGGAACAGAAAACCCTGAAGCTCTGCATGCAAATGCCCTTTCAGCTTAGTCCATATAAGAGAGACCCACTCTGCATTTTGTGGCAAGACACAACTCTGCGCCAGGCCCTGTTGTAGGGGGAGAAAGATGCGTAAGGTGGGCACCACCCTCATGGACTTAACAGCTTGAGCTGTGGGAAGATGGTAAGAAGAAAAGTATTTCTAAATAGAAAGGCGATGACCCCTTGCCCTGGTCATTCCCAGAGGGAAGTCCCCGGACTCGTGCTGAAGGAGGCGGTTCAGCCAAGGCAACTCTTCAGCTGTCTGCTATCTGATCTTATTCACATCCGTGCCACATTTCACTTACAACTTAAGGTTTTATTCACCAGAATGATTGTTTGCTGAGCACTTTATAGTTTGCCTGTGTCTTTAATCATCGTGAGGCTGTTTGCGGTATCTTCTTGTTACCGGTACAGAGACCCATAACTGCCTTCCCCTCATTCTGGTTCTAAGATGCTTTTTTAGAATTATGCCTAAAGAGGCTCTAAGCCAGGGCCTGCCTGGCCAGAGGGCCCATTACCCAACTCTCACCTACTTCTAGCCATAGGAACTCTCTTAGGGAAATGCACCAAGTGACATTAACAAATAAACAGCCCGTGGCAATCTTGCATTCATGGTATGACTTCTTCCGATTGAGTTCCCCGTTTCTCAGCTTTCCTCACCTCTAAAAAGTAGGAATTATCCTGCATGATCACTAGTGTTCCTCCCCATCTTAACATCCTCTGAGTCTACAGTTCCTCTGGGGCAAGGGCTGGACGTAAATCCAACAGAAGAGGAATTGCTAGCCGTTCACAGGACTTACTTGAAATTTCAGAATGCGTTGTTGTGCTGGTTGTACAGAGGGTTGGGTGTCTGCAAAAATGGAGAGATGGCGGTCTATCTGGACACACACAGGGCTGAGATGAAATAGGTGATCTTATAATGTGGATGATCATGATTAAGTTAATTACTCTTACCTCATCATTCTTCTCCCCAACACACACACCCTCTACGCACACATTGCAGATGTGATAAAGCTTCCAGCTGAGACACTATTAGCCATATCTACAAAGAGCCTGTGGCTTAATTGTTTTTTTTCTCCCAACTCTGGTAAAATGGGATTAGTTCAAAGAAAACTAAAGAAATGACTTAATGTAACGACTTAAAAAAAAAGAAGCCTAATTGCTGCAAACTACATGGGGCAGAGGATGAATGCTATGAAACAAACCTGTGACAGTTTATGATCTCAGTTTTAGGCTCTTGAAAAATAAATCTATGTATGTCCATTTGTCATTATGACGTTTTAGGTAAAAATGTACTGCTTCGATGACAAGTTGTAGCTGAATTTCACATATTGTACATATTTTTAAAGTATTACCCACTTTGAGTTAAAAATTCATTAAAACATGCCCACGTTGGAATTTAAATATTTCACTGGCGATTGGAATTGTTCTGTGGGGAGAAATAAATTTGTTTTGATTGCTTTAATTTGGCCTCGTATAGCCAGCTTTTGAAGAAGTTGTATTTACGACAATTTATCTGAAATTCCTACTTAAATGGCAAATCCATGATTTTTTTTTTAGCCACAACTATCTTACTTCACTTCTTTGCAATTTTTGGAGGACTGTGAAATAAAATTAACCAGACAGGAACTTCCCCTACAAAGGTGATTTTATTTCAGGTATTGGGAGATGACAATTTAATATCTGCCATCAAGCATTTGAACAGAAGTCCCAAGTGGGTACTATTCTAGATGCATTTATGAGGTGGACACACTTTTAGGGTACTATAGTATGGAAATATAGCAAAGTTAAGTGCACAAGTATAATAAAATGCAAAACGTAAGGTCCCTCTGCCTGGAATGTTCCTCCCCACTTCTTTCATGCTCACTGCATTCCTTTTCTGTACGTATTGTACTTCTTTCTATCTTATTTTTCTAAGCTTAAGGATCATAGGATCACTGTCTGTTCATTTCTGTTTCTCCACCACCTATTAAATGCATTCGGTAAGGTTTTATTGAATGAAATTTATCATGAGTTAATCCAAATTAAATGTGGTATAAAAATGTGATTTAGAGGCCTTAAAAAGAGGAAGGTTTTCCACATAGTTGGGCAAGTAAGTAAAGGCTTTGGGCATTTCTATCGAAAATGGGTTTGGGAAAATGGGTACCATTTTAAAAACGGGAGAGAGGAGCCATTCAAGGCAGAAAGGAGAGTAAGAAACAAAGACAAAATGAGCCACCAAAGTAAAGAACATCCTTGCAGAGTATCTTCTAAAATTTGACTAGAGTTCCTTGTTTTTGGACTTTAAAATGTGTTGCGTTATTAACATAGAAAATATTTAGGGTTTAATTTTTAGACCTTAAGTTCTTTATGAAATCTACAAGTATTTCTACCTTCTCCTTTGGATTGAGGTGAGTATTGTAGAATACCAACATTTGTGGAGCGCTTATCACGTGACAGATTCTGCTTGGTACTTGACATAGACTGTCTCAATTCACGCTCATCATCCCCTTATGAAGAAGGTACTATCGTTATCCCCATCTTAGAGAAGAGGAAGTCGGCATCTGGTGAGATGATGATACTTGCCTCAGGGAGACAGCTAGCAAGGGGTGAAGTCAATATTCTAACCCAGACAGTTGATGAAAGAACCCTTTTCCTCTTAACTGTTATACTATGGTCAAGGATTTATTGCTCCCCAAGAACAGGAGTTAGAGGCAGCCTTTGAGGGTGGCTGGAGACTTAGAGGGACAGAAAGCTCAGAACTTAGAGAAGTCACATGTCACTTGGGAAAATGTGGGACATGAGGTTTCTCAGGCCATGTAGAATATTCCAGAACAAAATATGTAACACGAGTATACCGAACTCGAGATTTTTTTTTTTTTTTAATTACAAGAGAAACCAAATGGTTTGAAGAATATCAGTTTCTGACATGGAATATGCCTCGTTTTAGGGACGTGGGAATTTGTGAACAGCAGAACTGACTTGACCAGGGCCATGGTGGGCTTACTTCCGGGTGAAGATGGCCTCCATTTCATTTATCATGCGGCAGCAGCTGTGATGCCCGGTTAGCTGAGTTGTAAGAAGAGCTCTTTGAGCAAACAGAAGTGTGAAAGAAAACCCCTGCAATCCGCACAAGATCGGTAACAACCTGTGTTTTCTAAACCTTTCTCTTTTAGGAAATCTATTCGTGGTGAGCCTGGCGGTTGCGGACCTGGTGGTAGCCGTGTATCCATACCCCTTGGTGCTGATATCTATATTTAACAACGGGTGGAATCTGGGCCATCTGCACTGCCAAATTAGCGGGTTCCTGATGGGCTTGAGTGTCATTGGCTCAATATTCAATATCACTGGAATTGCCATCAACCGCTATTGCTACATCTGCCACAGCCTCAAGTACGACAAGCTGTACAGTAACAGGAATTCCCTCTGCTGCGTGTTCCTGATATGGATGCTGACCCTCGTGGCGATCGTGCCCAACCTGCGTACCGGCACCCTGCAGTACGACCCGAGGATCTACTCCTGCACGTTTACGCAGTCTGTCAGCTCAGCATACACAATCGCGGTAGTGGTCTTTCATTTCCTCGTTCCTATGACCGTAGTCATCTTCTGCTACCTGAGAATATGGATCCTGGTTCTTCGGGTCAGGCGGAGGCTGAAACCGGACAGTAAACCCCAAATGAAACCACAGGACTTCAGGAACTTTGTCACCATGTTTGTGGTTTTTGTACTTTTTGCCATTTGCTGGGCTCCTCTCAACTTTATTGGTCTTGCCGTGGCTTCAGACCCCGCCAGCATGGTACCCAGGATCCCAGAGTGGCTATTTGTGGCGAGTTACTATATGGCATATTTCAACAGCTGCCTCAATGCCATTATATATGGGCTCCTGAACCAAAATTTCAGGAAGGAATACAGAAGAATTATAGTCTCACTGTGTACAGCCAGAATGTTCTCTGTGTGTCGTTCTCATGATGCTGCAGATAGGGTTAAATGCAAACCCTCTCCGTTAGTGACCAACAAGAACCTAGTAAAAATGGACTGTGTTTAAAACACAAAGCATTGCTGACAAGGTGTACACACTTCTCAAGGTCTTACTCATTTTCGTGGTTGCCTCCCTCTTGACAGATGCCTAGAAGCACAGGGTAGTCGAGAAAACTTGCACTCTTAGGAGGTTGTCTCCAGTTTATGAGCTCTGTGGGTTCAGCCTTTTGAATCGGTCTCTAATTCTGCTTATGAAGAGAAATACAGAACCTAAGAGTTACATGTTGATTGGAGAACATGGTTCAGGGACAGAGGCGTGGGCGGGCAATGATTTTAAATAAAAATGCTAAATGTATTCACGTGGAGAAACAGTGTGCAAACTTTTATGGCAAATGAGCGTCATAAAGCATTTGCTTTTTTCCTCCACTTTTTGAAGATTTCTTGTAGGAAAACAAATGATGTGTCGTAGTCATAAGCAAATGGAACAACAAGAGAGAAGTGGATGACTGATTCATTACACAGCGACAGGCTGAAAACAAATCAGGGAATAACAACACATCAGCAACAAACCACAGCAAAGTTTTCACTTGGCATTGGTAGCAATGGGTGACTATAGTCATGATTCTAAATGCGGTCTCTTTCTCTCGAGTGTTGCATGTTCAACTAGATAAAGAATGAACTATACGACGGAGCTCTTTTCCAGATCTCAATAACCACAGTATTTGAAAGCAATAGCGAAATACAAAATTCTATTGGATTTTATTAGACATTGGCTTATTTTGTCACTGAAGATTATTCATGTCGCTGACAAATTGTTTTGAATTGATCTCTGTTAATTTATGAAGTCATTTAATGAGTTTAGTTAAAATGTACCAAGAATCAAAGAGCTATAGATCCTTAGGTATAGTGCTGACTGTGTTCTAGATTGATAATCTCTTTTGGCAAGTAGATATCTGAACCAGATTGCTTTCCTTGTATAAATATTTCAAAACAATATTCTTTAATAATTCATTTCAGTATTTGATTGCTCTAATAATCCTGAAAGTCTAGGAGAAGAAAAAAAACGCACAGGTAAACTATGGTTTCATGAACTATGGCTCTCATTCACTCCAAAAAGCTATTTAGGACCACCTTGAGGTTTGTTACTGGAGTGCTTTGCAGGAAATTAGAGACATGTTTTCTAGTGTTATAAAGTTCTGCAACAAAACTGTCACACAGGAGGAGTTGGTGATTTGCAACTATATACATAAGACACAAAGTGATCTGATATATTTGCTAATCTCTGTCTAGATAATCAGAATCTCCTTGGAAAGTTCTATCAATGGTTTTAAAAGGTTCTTCTGTTAACTGTTTTTATCAAGGATATTTGAGAAACATTAAGTCATGGTTTGTGGTGGGGTTATGGAGTCAAATGTATGTGTATATGTGTGTGTAAGTTATGTCTAGAACTTTACCCATCGAGTCATTTTTGTGTAAATGTTCTAGTCAGAACCAACACTAAATAGTAGAGATGAGTTTTAAATCCTTGTTCTAAATTTCATATAATTGAACCTTAAAAATATTAACCATGGCAGCTAAACTCTTTTTTAAGTGTATGACACTTTTATCTTGATGCTGGGGATGAATTACTACGTTGCTAACTGTATGTTCCTTTGCTCTTTATAGAATTCTGTTTCTTAACTTATACAATAGCAAAAATGCTGACTAGAAACTGTGCCCTTTAAAAATTGTCTGTCAAGTAGAGTATCTCACCTGAAGATGAGGTGTGTAACTTTAAAGTCTTGAAATGTTTTTCTTCACTACATAGGAACACTAGTTCGTTCAAACACTGACAATAAGAAAGCAACTCATCAAGATCAAGGGCAAAGTCTCAGATTTCCTCTAATGGCATCTCCTTGTAGAAGTCTTTTAAACATTCAAAATATTGTCAGTGGCTTCCTCACTGTAAAATTAATAAGTAGGAAGTCCTTAACTAAATATATTAAAATTTGTGTATAGCTTGTGTTTAGGCTGGAGGCTTTGTGAGGCTGAAAACAGTACATATGTCGTAACAGGGTGGGGGGGATGTCTTTTTCTCAAAAACAGTCAGTGGATTCTGAGACTCTAGATGGGTAAAATCTACACAAGACCATTTGATTTGGAATAAGGATAGCAAAACATCTATCATTGTCTTCTGAAATCAACTGCGAGAATCATGTGCAATTATTAACATCATGTTATTTAAGTTCCTAATACTCAGTTGAAGTGGATAGGCCAAAGAATTTGACCATTCTAATTTAAGTAAATCATTTGACTATTACCAGTGGAATGACCACCTCAATTGTATTCTCGTATGAAAAATGTAAATTACGTAGGATTCTTGGTGGCCCCTAGAGAACGTCACTTTTTTTTTTTTTCAACGTTTATTTATTTTTAGGACAGAGAGAGAGACAGAGCATGAACGGGGGAGGGGCAGAGAGAGAGGGAGACACAGAATCGGAAACAGGCTCCAGGCTCTGAGCCATCAGCCCAGAGCCCGACGCGGGGCTCGAACTCACGGACCGCGAGATCGTGACCTGAGCTGAAGTCGGACGCTTAACCGACTGCGCCACCCAGGCGCCCCGAGAACATCACTTTTAAACCTGTTATTTTATTTCTTATACCTGTTTGCAACAGATGAGTGTGGGACATACTGACTACACATTGTTATGTAAGCTACATGATCACACAAAATGTGATTGTATTTGGTTACAACTAATAGATACTGCAGATGGGAGGAGGGAGGAATAATTTCAGTTTGTCTACTCTGTTGTAGATTTCATTACCAAATATTTATGTAGGAACCATCTCCATGTATAAACAGGACTTTTTTTTTTTCTGATAAAGTAGCAGAACTACCTGACTTTAAATATTCTGGCAAGTAATACTGGAGGATGACCAATCTTAGAGATTAAATCGATAATTTCTCATTAAGTGAACACATTTCAGCCTGAATGTTGTGTAATGAATAATAATTTTGACCATTTTTTGGACTGTCTCTGATACATCATCAACTATTTCACTGTGAATAAGGAGACACATTTGGAATTAGATACATTTCAAGTCAGTTTAAATTACTAAATTATTATTTTTGCAAATAGCCTGAGCATAAGCAGCCTTTTCTTTTTTTTTAAATATGAAATTTATTGTCAGATTGGTTTCCATACAACACCTCGTGCTCATCCCAACAGATGCCCTCCTCAATACCCATCACCGACCCTACCCTCCCTCCCACCCCCACCAACCCTCAGTTCGTTCTGTTTTTAAAAGTCTCTTATGCTTTGGCTCTCTCCCTCTCTAACCTCTTTTTTTTTCTTCCCCTCCCCCATGGGCTTCTGTTAAGTTTCTCAGGATCCACAGAAGAGTGAAAACATATGAATAGACACTTCTCTAAAGAAGACATCCAGAGGGCCAACAGGCACATGAAAAGATGCTCAACGTCACTCCTCATCAGGGAAATACAAATCAAAACCACACTGAGAAACCAGCTCACGCCCATCAGAGTGGCTACAATGAACAAATCAGGAGACTACAGATGCTGGCGAGGATGTGGAGAAACGGGAACCCTCTTGCACTGTTGGTGGGAATGCAAACTGGTGCAGCCGCTCTGGAAAACAGTGTGGAGGTTCCTCAAAAAATCAAAAATAGACCTACCCTATGACCCAGAAATAGCACTGCTAGGAATTTACCCAAGGGATACAGGAGGCTTTTCTTTTTAAAAACAATTTTTATAATTTGTTTCCCACTTTTTACTTTTCTCTAAGGAATATCCTGTAAAAAATTATCTCGTATATCAGGAACATGACAGGGATGTCCACTCCCACCGCTGTTGTTTAACACAGTGTTGGAAGTTCTAGCATCCGCAATCAGACAACAAAAGGATATCAAAGGCATCAAAATTGGCAAAGATGAAGTCAAGCTTTCACTTTTTCCAGATGACATGATATTATTTTTGCAGATGACATGATATTATACATGGAAAATCTGATAGACTCCACCAAAAGTCTCCTAGAACTGATACATGAATTTAGCAAAGTTGCAGGATACAAAATCAATGTACAGAAATCAGTTGCATTCTTATACACTAACAGTGAAGCAACAGAAAGACAAATAAAGAAACTGATCCCATTCACAATTGCACCAAGAAGCATAAAATACCTAGGGATAAATCTAACCAAAGATGTAAAAGATCTGTATGCTGAAAACTATAGAAAGCTTATGAAGGAAATGGAAGAAAATATAAAGAAATGGAAAAACATTCCGTGCTCATGGATTGGAAGAATAAATATTGTCAAAATGTCAATACTACCCAAAGCTATCTACACATTCAATGCAATCCCAATCAAAATTGCACCAGCATTCAACTTGAAGCTAGAACAAGCAATCCTAAAATTCCTATGGAACCACAAAAGGCCCCGAATAGCCAAAGTAATTTTGAAGAAGAAGACCAAAGCAGGAGGCATCACAATCCCAGACTTTAGCCTCTACTACAAAGCTGTCATCATCAAGACAGCATGGTATTGGCACAAAAAAGACACATAGACCAATGGAATAGAATAGAAACCCCATAACTAGACCCACAAATGTATGGCCAACTAATCTTTGACAAAACAGGAAAGAACATCCAATGGAAAAAAGACAGTCTCTTTAACAAATGGTGCTGGGAGAACTGGACAGCAACATGCAGAAGACTGAAACTAGACCACTTTGTCACACCATTCACAAAAATAAACTCAAAATGGATAAAGGACCTGAATGTGAGACAGGAAACCATCAAAACCCTAGAGGAGAAAGCAGGAAAAGACCTCTCTGACCTCAGCCTTAGCAATTTCTTACTTGACACATCCCCAAAGGCAAGGGAATTAAAAGCAAAAATGAACTACTGGGACCTTATGAAGATAAAAAGCTTCTGCACAGCAAAGGAAACAACCAACAAAACTAAAAGGCAACCAACGGAATGGGAAAAGATATTTGCAAATGACATATCGGACAAAGGGCTAGTATCCAAAATCTATAAAGAGCTCACCAAACTCCACACCCGAAAAACAAATAACCCAGTGAAGAAATGGGCAGAAAACATGAATAGACACTTCTCTAAAGAAGACATCCGGATGGCCAACAGGCACATGAAAAGGTGCTCAATGTCGCTCCTCATCAGGGAAATACAAATCAAAACCACACTCAGATATCACCTCACGCCAGTCAGAGTGGCCAAAATGAACAAATCAGGAGACTATAGATGCTGGTGAGGATGTGGAGAAATGGGAACCCTCTTGCACTGTTGGTGGGAATGCAAATTGG